TGATGCCCGTTGGCCTCATCTGTCTCCGACTTGTCTCCTGAACTGAGCAGACCCTGGATGTTATGATGACCGCCTGAGTTTGTGGGACCCACCTTGGATGCCGTGATTCACCTTGGATGCCGTGGCCATCGTCTGCTGAAAAAGGCTGAGGTCTGTTGTCTAAGGCCCCAGCGGCTGTAAGGGCCAGGGTGTCTGTAGAACGCAGGCGCCCGTTGTATCTGAACATGAATTTGGGCACGTTCCTCCTACTTCCAGGCCCGTTTTGGGATTGCACGAAATGTTTCCAAAGTTTTCAGTTCGTTCCTTCCTGCGCAAATCAGAATCCATGAGCCCCCAGACATCAGCACGAGGGGAAGCCACTGCCAAGTGCATTGTCGGTGGCCGTCTTTTTAGTTTGATTTTGGCTTGGTTTCGGTGCTGTCATGCCATGCAGAAGCTTGGAAAGCCGTGGACTGCCTGATTGCATTTGGAATTATGCTTTGTGTAGCTCAAGGACGTCTTTATACGTCTTTTTCAAGTCTTTATGATGAAGAGCATCATTTAGCCAAGCTCCACGTATACATTTGAACATGTTCCCTTTTTGTTCCGGGCCCTGTTCGGGATTCCCGTGACATGCCAGAGTTGCGTGCAGATGCTTCCAAACTTTGTATTTGCGCCTAGGCATACATTGTACATGTGTTTTTACACACAGCAGCATCCCAAACCTAGGTAAGGGGGGGGGGGCTTTCTTGTCGAAGGGGGCCGTGTTTCCTGGAGCAGGGTACTCCCAAGCCATCCAGGGCGGGTGAACCTCCTAAGCTCCCAGAGATAGGGGACTCAGGAGGGTGCTGGGACCGTCCGCAGGACCGGCAGCCCAGGACCCTCATTTCAGGCGTCTCGGCAGAGGCCTCCCAGCCTCCCAGACAACTCTGGGGCGTTTTGGAAGCCACACGAAGGCCTGGAATGATGTGCATCATCCCTCGCAACGCCAAACGGGCCAAGACCGAAGTCTTCCAGACACGTGGCAGGGCCTCCTGCCAATTTATTCACCTTCAGCAAACTCCCAAACTGTTGGAAACCCGAGGTCTTTCAGGAGGGGCTTCACCAGGATGCTAGGGCGCCAGAGTCCACAAGACTAATATACCTGAGCACGATCAGAAAGCAAGGCAACCCGAAACCATGAAAGGTCAAGGTGAGGGTGGAGCACAAGCGACCGTGGGACCCAACGAGTCGGGGCGCCTGCCTGGGTGCTTTTCGCACCAGCGCCCGCAATTGAAACGCCCTATAAACCCTAAACCCTAAGCCCCTAAAGCCCTAAGCCCTAAGCCCTAAACCCTTACCCTAAACCCTAAACCCTAAACCCTAAACCCTAAACCCTAAACCCAAACAGGCCCTGGGATCGTCCCGGGAGCCTCCAGGATCGGTGACACCAGGAGCGCACCGCAGGCAGCGAGCAGCAGCTTCTGCCCCCGGGCCATGGCAACCCAAAAGGGCCCCTAAACCCGAAACCCGAAACGCGTAACCCGAAACCCTAAACCCGAAACCCTAAACCCCTAAACCCCTAGACCCTACATGTGAGGGTGAAGCAAAAAAGAAATCAAATCTGCGTATCTTAATTAGGGCTAAAGTGTTTTCGGAGTTGATCTTTGTCTCCGGGGCCTTTTGAAAAACCAGGGTGTTTGATACAGATTATCTACCACGTCCTGCCTGTTCGCGAGCCCCTACCTGAAAATTGCCGTCGACAGCCTCTGAATACACAAACGCTGACGGGCGAAAATCGACACTGACGTGACAAGGGAAAGGCAGCAATTTGTACGGCTTGATCCTCTCTGTCCTCGCTACCCAGTAGTATTTCTTTGCACAACAGTGACGGCTTTGGCTTCAGGGCTTATCCCCTTGTTGCGATTACAGGGCTTCCTGTTGGGGAGGCTGATCTGATGTAGTGGTCAGGTTTTTCTAGGCACTGCAACGCTACAATGGAGCATCCACGTGTCGAATGTAAAACACGGCTTTGGGTTCGGAGATTGTCATGTAGAATCCTTTTATGTTAAACATTTTTGAACCTCAGCTGCATGTCCTACACCCTACACTTTCCTAAACAAGCGTAAAGTTAACCCCCCCCCCACTTCCAAAAAGGTGGGTCGAAATAAGGTTGTTGAGTGCAGGATGCGGAATTTAAGAAACTAAGTCGTTTCCTAATCTTAGAGCCAGTACTCTGCTGAGCTCAGACAACACGGCATGCGTGGAACCTAGCTTGCTCCCAGTAAAAGACACTTGAGCACACAGACCAGAAACGGTCTAATCTCACCCCCACCCCCACCCCCACCCCCACCCCCCAAAGCCTAAAACTGCAGGCCCAGCACCCATGAACCTCCAAGTAGCCCTAAACCCTAAACCCTAAACCCTAAGCCCTAAGCCCTAAACCCTAAACCCTAAACCCTCTACGCCACTTCCTCTTTGTGGAGATTAGCCGGGGTTTCCCGGAAGTCAGGGATGCCTGTCGTGGCCCCCCAAAAAAACACCGGCCGCCCGAAGCGCAGCACGCGCTCCGTGACCAGGTTTCGGGTTGAGGGTCTGTCTTCGGGATGCTCCCCCCTAGACTGACACCCCTTCATAGGGATGTTTGAGTAGGGGGGTTCTATACTCCCTGATTAAGGAGCTGCTAGTAGAAATCTGGAAGATCCGAAGGCTGTCGTAAAGCTTGGGGCGGTCCCTGGTCCTGATTGCGCCTCGCCATGGCAGCAGAGGTTCATCCTCTGCTGCCATCACGATGCCCGGTGCAAAGCATGCGGGGGACCCAAAGAGCCCAAAATGTAGGGATCCTTAATATGGTTTAAGGTATATTCCTTAATCAAGGAGTATTGGGCTCTTTGGGGAGTTGAGAGGCTCATCCAACTGAGTTGGCGTGAGCCACAGAAAACTGGTGAAAAGCAGGGGCAGCCAAACACAATTGTTCAGCAAGCCCTCCATTAAAGCGAGCGCCGGCAATTGCACAGGGGGCTTGGCCACGATAGTCGCACACACGCTGTCCCTGAACTCAAAGGCCTAAATCAACTGCTTGTAGAGGATCTGCCTCCACCAGCGCCGGTTGCAAGCCCTGGTGGCCCGCACATCGAAACGAAATCAGGAAAACTGGATGTGGAAAACACGAATTTAAATAATTTAATGCGAGTCGGTGAGACCTGCACGACCTCGGTGCAAATCTCGACGGGCGAGAAGGCTCAGCGTTGACGCTTCGGAGCTTAGGATCACTGTGACGATTTAGGCCGGGGTGTTTGGTTGGGTTTCCATGTTCCTGTGCGCAGGTCATGATACAGCGTTCAGCATTCCGCTCCTGAGGACGTGAAAACAATATTAGCCGCCACCTACGCCTTGACACCGAGACCCAGCTTACCTAAACGAAAGGGGCTCGTGCAAATCGCTGAAGATCGTTCAAGACGTTCTCAGGACCCAGTGGCCACATACTCAATTTACACAAAGTGTACATCAAGCCCCACACACCCCCTATAAACTCTCCACACTGAACTCGAAACGCTGAATGCTTCGGAATTTGGAAACCACAACATCGCTCCATGCAGCCCTGAGCCTAAACAATCACCCGGTGCCCAGCTGCAAAGCCCTCCTGGGGCAGCGTACGAGCCATGGCGGCTTAGCACACCTGGTCAGGGCTTGGCGCTAGGCAAACTTCAACCGTCTCGTGCGTTGCTTTCGGGGATGTTTTCGACCATGTTGTTGCATGCCTCGATGGCGTTTCGGGCTCAAGCGCATGCATGACTGTAGAGGCCGCTCTAAAGCTCGGGCTTCGAAGGTTTTTGAAAGCCGAATGCCAAAACATCCCAGAAAGCACACGCCTGCTTGTCCATCTCCAGAGTGACAGTCGCAAGGCCTCCCTTCAACGTGTCCTCCGAGAGCAAAGAGGGTTCAGGGGGGCAAAACGGGTAAAACTGGAGGCTTGGAGACTTACACCTGCCAGTCTTCCTGCTCACTTCAGGAGCTTTTGAACTGCACCCGAAGCTTTGGACCGTATCACCGCATCGAGAGGTTTACTTACAAGCAACGACCCCTACGAAAACACCCCACGACCAATCCTTCAACCTTCTCCTACTTCAAGACATGAACCCACACGTAGATGTGCCCCCACGCCACACACAGCCGAAGCCATTGGTGCCGAGCCATGCGTCCTTGACGCCCAGCTCCTCGAAGATGGCCTTGACCACGGTTTCGGGTTGAGGATTTAGGGTTCAAGTGTTGCGTTTTCTTTGCATCTATATATGTAAAAATGTTTCAACCAGCCCGAAGCCAACGCTTAAGACAAAGAAAGACAAGCCGCAACCCTTCTGCGTGCAGCAACGTGGCCCAACCATACATCCCCATACAGCAGTGCTGCAAGTCCCGTGGCTTTGGGGGCATTCAAGCTTCACTCCCTTCATGCACTGGGAGACAGGAAGAGAGAGGGAGAGAGAGAGAGAGAGAGACGGACAGAGAGAGAGAGAGAGAGACAGAGAGAGGGAGAGAGGGGGAGAGAGAGGGAGAGAGAGAGAGAGAGAGTGAGTAAGTGAGGGAGGGAGAAAGACAGGGAGAAAGACAGAGTGACAGAGAGGGGAAGACCGGCCTCGTACTGAAGGGCAGCGTTGCTCCAAGTGAACTCTGCAGAGGCGGCCATGGCTGCCCGTGTCATGGCCTTGACCTGACGATTTCAGAGAACCTAAACCTAACCAGAACCCCAAGACCCTGCCTAAACCCTCCAGTGCAGACCCTGCCAAAGTCTCGGAAGCGAAGAGGATGCCCCACAAAGAACAACATGATTTAGGGCTTGCATTCTCTGATACAGCCTCTGCACCCTAAACCTCCAGCATGAACCCTTAACCCCTCGAAAGCCTGAACCCATAACACTCCAAAAGCCTGAAGCCCTCCGACTCATTCCTTGGAAGCTTAGACCCTCAGCCCTTGAAAGCCTTTTGAAACTTGTGTGCAGGTTTCAGCTGCTGAGCCACTTCGAAACCCCGAGGGCTCAACCCCCTTTAGCCAGCCTTCGAGGGCTCCTCGACGAAGAGCTTCGAGGCGCGCTTCAGAGCCTTCGCGATGGACTCCACGGACTCCTTGCTTGCTTGCTTGCACGCGCGCACGCGCGCTTCGGCGGGAGGGCGCTTGGGCGGGCGCACTCAGAGCGCGCGCTTGGCTTCCGTGGCATAGGGTTTGGGGTACACAAAGTTTTCCGAGCAGGCGCGCGGGTGCGCGAGCCTCGTCAATGACGGCCTCCACGGACATCTCCTTGTCGGTCCAGATTCCGTTCAGTCCATCCTGGCAAGCACCGCATCCGATCAAAACCTGAGCCCCCATTGCCTGCAACCTCCAAACTTAGACCTCATCCAGAGCTCTGCGCAACTCTAATCCGCTCGGAGAACAGCAAGTTCTGTCAAGGACCGTTTTTGAGCGATGATAGCAAGGTTTGGAATCCCCTGAGCCCGAAACATCCTGTATCTGCTGGCACACACCCGACTGACCCTGCAGCCCTGTCTCGCCTCAACAGTGTCCTTCAGGCCACCCGTCGGGGCGACGATGGGCAAGGTGCCCATGCGCATGGCCTGCAGCCCTAAACCCTAAACCCTAAACCCGAAACCCGAAACCCTAAAGCCCTAAGGCCTAAACCAACACGCGTTCAGGCTTCAAGGGCTTCAAGGTCCAAGGATGGTCCAGGGCTTGGGATTCAAATCTTGGGGACAGCCGGCGCAGGGAGCCCTAGTTTGGAGGATACAGCTGAGGGGCTTGTGAGATCGCGCGCAACTGTGGCTGAAAGGTTCGGCAGCAAAACAACTGTCTGGCACCTCCATCTGCACCAGGCCACAAGGCTCCCACCTGCATTCGAAGGCAGGCAGTTCTGTATGGTTTCCAGGGTATGAGGGCTCTTGGGGTTTTAGGGCTTGCTGTAGCGTCTCAGGGCTCAGGATACTTCCGGGCTCAGGTTTTTGTTGGGGTTTTGGGTGGGGCGGATTGCCGGACTAGAAAGGTTCTAAAGTTGTTTAAGGGTTGCCGGTGCCATCCGCTAAACTTTAGCAAAAACTTGGACACAACGAGGAATGGTGCTTCAATCCCCGCAGACATGTGCTAAGAGATACGAGTAGCACTGACATGTCTCAGGGCAGCGAGGGGAATTTAAACCTAAAGCCCGTTGTCTATCCTCCACAGACCACACCATACACTCCCCCTCAACGCACTTGGGAGCTCGTGCTCACCTGCATGTCGCATGCGGAAAGGAAAAACATCACAGTAATCCGGTGTCTGCTCGCCATTAGCGCCTCCCGTCGCAGCCGCTTAGGATAGCAGTGGTAGCTAGTAGGCTCGCCGCACCCCTCTGGGTGGACTTTGCCGTGCAGAACATCAATGCCGCAGGGGTCCCTGCACCTGGAAATCGTCCCCTGACCTCCCACAGCCGCTGCGCCAGTAAACGCAAATCGGATGGTAGGACCTACGTTACGGCTCAGATAGTACTCAGATAGGGGTGTTGAAGCTTGCGGTCCTCATGGACATGATCAAGTTGTCTGGATTGCTTCGAAGCGACAAAAGACCTGAAATTCCCGACCCGTGAGAACTGTGGGAGAACCGCCAGCCGCAACCACTCCGAGAACCCTTGGGGCACCGGGACGGCAGCAGGGTGAAGTCGCAGCCGGCCAGCAGAGCGTATCGCTCAGGGCCCATCCAGCCTGCACGGCGGTTGAGGCGGTTTAGGGCTTGGGCTACTTGAGCGGTCGCACATGGAACCCGGTCGTGTCAAAAGCCATGCCATCCGCAGCAGCCTGCATAGAAGAACTTGGTGGGAAACTTCTTCTCGACGGCCTTCGTCCTGACTCAATCCCCTGTCTTAAGGCCGCAAAGAACCGAAGAGATCAAAAGCCCTGACGATCCTCCTACATAAGCCAAAAGACGGCAGAACTCCCACTCAAACTCTTAACAACTCACCGCTTAGCTGCCAGTTCCGCCTGCACAAGATCGGCTGGATCCAGGTCAGAACACTCCCCTAACCTGCCAGAAGCCCTTGGTCTTGTGACCTGTTCTGAGAAACAGGGAGAGAAAGAGAGCGAGAGAGAGAGAGAGAAAGAGAGAGAGAGAGAGAAAGAAAAGGAGCGTACAAAAACTCTTCAACTCTAAAAAGCCACCGGCACCCTCAACCTCAACTCCTAAGACCTAGACTGCCACCTAAGACCTAAACTGACACGAAGAAGCACCCCAAAGCCCAAAGCGTAGGTGCCCCGCTGGGCCACGAGGTCGGCGCGGCCGGAGCCCACGATGACCACCTGCATCTCCGTGTCCTGGCAGGGGCTTCAGGGGTTGAGGGTTTAGGGTTTGGGGTTTAGGGTTTAGGGTTTAGGGATGTTAAGGGTTTAGGGCTTCAGGGAGTGAAAGGGATTTGGGCTTGTCAGGGATCGAGGGCGCAAGAGTTTGCCTGGCTACGCTTATAAGGTTACGACTCAGTCACACAGGTGTCTTGGGATGAGCAGGGCTGACGAAGTCTGGGAAACTGAAGTATCTGTCACTCAGAGCATTCGTGGAGTTCGCCCATGGGACTTGGGGCTTTGGAGGGCGTTGGCATGTTCCAATAAGAAGAGTTGGCCTAGAAAAAATGGGGGCCTCCAGGATCTCCACCAGGGCCTCCAAGAGGAGGTCGTAGCCCTTCTGGGCATCCAGCCTGAAGCTTGCCAAAAGAAACTGCAGAGGGCCCAATCTCCCTAAACTCCCCAAACTCCCCGAACTCCCCAACTCCCCAAACTCCCCAAAGCGCCTTCCGATGAAGCACATCAGGGGCCCCTTGGTCTCGGGGAGGTTGTTCTGCGCACGGTAGGTGGCCTGGCGTGCTGTGAACCCAGGTGGGGTTCTAGATGAGGGTCCTTCTTGAGGGGGGAGTTCATCTACCCTTGAACCTGAACAGTAAATCAATCCTGAAGAACCTATAGTAAGTCTGTCATTTAGGGTCTGGGAGGTGTTCGGAGCCAACGACATAGCGGGACGGGCAGGAGCTGGAAGCATCGAGAACTCCACAAGCACCCTTGAACCCTCACCCATGTTTACCCCTGTCACCCTACATTTGGGGGCTTCCCGGCCTTGAGCTCGGCCTTCGCCTCGGGCGCCGTGGCAGCCTGGGCATGACGAGGGGTCCCCTCATTTCCCCTTCCCTTTCGGGGTGTGACTAGGGGTTGGACAGGTTTAGGACTTACTAGTACAGTTTACGGCTTAGGAGGTCTAGTGTCTATGGGGCTTAGGCTTAGAAAATGCAGAGAACGCGTCTGAGCTACCGGCCGTGAAGATCCCGCAGGACATCATGGTCTTCGTGACGAAGTTCTTGTCGCTGGGGGACACGCCCTCCTTCACGCCGTTCAAGATTCCTGGCCGTGGCGGCTTGAAAAACCTGAAACCAGACGCCCAAAAAACCCCGAACCCTCAGTCCTGTGCACTTTCCCAGCGTGAAGAGGTCCTCCAGCTCCACGCCCTGCAATGCAGGTTCCCTTGCCCCGCCCTATCATTCTTGAAGATTTTGGTGAAAGGATGCTCAAGGTCGTTCATGCCTTGCATGGAAGAAAAGGCAAGGTGCGCACCAGGTCCAATGGGCGCCTTCTCCGGATCCGTGCAGCACTCCACCGCGTAGCTGGGAGACACGGTCAAGGCCTTTGCCGGACGGACCATGCGGCAATGCTCCCTGATCTCCCTGCATCGGCACTCGAACTGTCTGCATCTGTGGATGTCATGACAAGCGCTTCTGGCCACTACCTTGGGAGAGATGTTCAAAGTCGAAAAGGGCCGTACTGCCCAAAATATTTTACGATCGCCTGTCCAACTTCTCTGTGCTCCCAAGATGCAGTGGGAACACATGCCTGGCTACCACTCTTCATGAATATCGCCACCGCATCTTTGAGAGAAATAGAGCCCCAGACCTAAGTCCTAAAAGCCCCCCAGATCCAAGCTCAAACCCGAAGCCCTAAACTCCAAACGTCTCTGAACCTGGACCTCTGAGCTGGAGGCCCGGTCGGCGTACTTCAGGCCCGCAGCCATGGTGTTGATGCAAGATTTCTGCGAGCGAGGCGCACAGGAAAAGCTTAGCAGAGCGAAGCGCTTCAGCACTTCCAGATCTGAAGGATCTTCACAGGGCTTATCTGGCTGCTTGTTGGCTCGCGGTTTGGAGGAGCTTCGGGATCAGCAGGACCAGCAGCCGACCTTCTCGTTGTACTTGCCGATGCGCAGCGGCATCTTGAAGGTGATGCTGTCGATGTAGCGCTCCGGAACGCCGAAGATGCTGGCCAGGCCTGCCACCCAAATGGCCTACCTCGTCTTGCAAGCCCATGACAGGTTGTTCCTTCCCCCAAGGTACGGCTTGGGGCTTAGGGCTTGTACAGGCCTTCCTCGCGCACGAAGCGACCTTGGAAGACGGCGTTGTGGCAGAGGAACCTTGGTGAAGTGCTTTTGCGCTTTAGGCACCTCGCTGACATGCGAACCCAAGCATAACCGGGTAACCCTACACCCTCAACTCTCAAAAAAAATGAACTAACCCGAGTGCCAGGGCTTAGGAGGCTTCAGGGCTTTGGAGCTCAGATGCTTTAAGGGCGGCCAAGTGGCGCGGACTTCGTGTTGGTCCATTTGCCTTGGGCTTCGGGGGGAGGTCTTCTTGAAGACATGCTTCGAGAGTTAGGGCTTCGGCTTCTTTAAGGCCTTACGTGCTCGCGGCTTTCGGCTACGAGCACAACGGCTTGCGGCTACAAAGCTTCCGGGGCCTGTGGGCTTCTCAGCGTGGATGAGCATCGGGACCAGGGCCGAGTGCCAGTCGTTGCACACGACCATGCAGTCGCCGCCGTACCTTGGGCTCGGGGCTTTGGCAGGAAGAGGTTTCAGGGATGTCGGGCGTAGTTTGGGGATACATGACGCCCCCAAAAGCACCGGAACCTGAGAGCTCCAAGCCCCTGCGGTCACCACTGGTACTCTTCAATCTTTTTTCCGACAGCTGTCGCCGGGCCCCGAGCACAGCACCGCCCAGGGGCAGCTCCTGGATGGCCTTCAAGGAAGCCTCGGGCGGTTTGGGGCTTGGGGGATGTTCAGGTGTATAAGATGTGCTTGTGGAATGCCCGGGCCCAGAAAGGCACGAAGAGGTGGGGCCTCAGGCCCTCTCACACGAGGCAGACAACACTTCAACGTGGACACTCACACTACAGCTTTGTGCCTATTCCTCCAGAGGCGAGGGGTAAACAGCAATGCATCACCCCTGGGCTTTTGCTTTCGGGCTTTCGTTGGATGGTACTTTTTGAGTTTGTTGCTGTGGGGTTCTGGGCTCAGGCTTGTCGGGGCAGGCGGAGAGGCCGCCTTGCAGAAGTAGGCGAAGCGAGCTTGGTTGTCCGCAAAGTCCTGCCGAAATTTAGGAGGTTGGTAAAGCGTCTCCGATTTGGGTAGAAAGTGAGCTTTGCAACTTGAGGGTGGGCGGGCATCCCACATTATGCCACAACTCTGCATAGCCTTTCGGTGCGAATCAAACCCGAACGCAACGTGTCCTGCCAGTACCTATATGTGCATTATCCATGGCATTCCATGAATCGTCTTTGAACCGTAAGCCTAGCCAATCCGCTGAGGCCTTGGGCCGAAGGTGTATAGGTTGTGAGAACAGGCACCCCCCTCCAAATCCTCTACCCAGACCCAATGCCTCAAATAGGTACCCCCCTCTAGGAAACCGGGGTCCGCAAGCGGACGGTTCGCCAGGACCAGAGGGAGTGGAAACCCCCGTTCCACCCCCTCCCCCCCTACCCCCCCCCCCCCCCCACCCCCCCCTACCCCCCCCCTACCCCCCCCTTACCCCCCCCCCCCCCCCCCCACACCCCCTTATCCCTACCCCGCTCCCATAGCCATTTCCGGATATTCGTGAACTGCCCTGGACCCCCTACCCTGCTCCCAAAAGCCGCTGTAGGAGATTCGTGAACTGCCCTGGCCTATGTGACCCTGTGCAGCTGCGGATGCCGCGAGCATGCGCTGGGCCAGGCCGAGGCGGGTCGCGTAGCGTTAAAATTACTCCTGTCAGCGAGCCTATCACAAACTCTACAGACATGTCAGTATGCTCAGAAGCAAGAGTGTGACAGACATGCCAGGGTGCACTGCTTATAGGGCCACTGGACCTAATCGGTGCACCTACGCGAGCAAACGTCTGGCTTGCTCGATCCACCCCAAAACTCTAAACCCTGAACGGTGAGCCACAACTACTGCTGTAAAACCCTCATGTTGATTACCAACATGTTCATAAGTTAATAACCCCTTCTTATCGGTCATCCTTGTAATGATTATGAATGGGTTTTGACCTGGTTGAAATTCCGGCAGCCGCAACTCAGACCATGGCTCCGACAAGCTGAGGAGGCGGGTGGCGTCCTGACCCCACTCAGGGCCGTACAACTTGGCACCGGTCTCTCCGTTGACCCGCTCCAGGAAGGTCGGGTGATCGACGAACACGTAGTCAACCTCGCCAACATCTACAACCCATTACAACTCCACACATGGGCAAAAGGGGGGGGACCATGCATGGGGAAAGGAGGGACCTGAATTCCCCCCCCCCCCCCCCCCGCCCCGCCATAACTTCAATTCCGGCTTGACCCTAACGTCTGAGGCGGGCTCGGTCACAACGTTGCAAAACTCTAAGGAGCTAGCTTTCGGAGTTTGACAGTTTGACCCTGGCCTTCTGCTTGTAGGTATGGAAGAAGTGCACGGATTCGTTCTTGCCGCCCATGGGCACCGAGCTCCAGTAGCCGGTGTCCCAAGCATCCTTGTACTGGTCATAGCCTGGACTGCAAGAAGCGCTGAGGCTGTCGGAGAGGCATCAAGAAACCCCCACAAAAACAAAGAGCCAAGTCATGGCGAAGCCACGGGGAGAGACGACCATGCAGCGGTGGCCCAGGGCCGCCAGCGCAATCGGCAGGCCGTCCATGGCCTCTCCCAGGCCTGGCAACGGAGGGTTCTTACCGGATGCTGGCTGAAAGGGCTAAGAAAAGGGAAATGGGGAAGTCTCATGAATGCACCTCATAAAGAAAAATAGGCGAACCTCAAACCTCCGCAAAGACGCAAAGTCCATTACTTAGAGCAACTTAGGGTTCAGGGAACCTGTGGAAAACTCCTTAGACACCGGTGCGCATCCAAAATTGCTGGTGCCTCCAGTCTTTGAGAAGGGAGCCACTTCACTGGTAACGAAGACGATCCTGACAGGGGTGCCCCGCGACAGCCTTCAGCAGTTCAACCGACTAGCCGGGTGCCTTCCGTGAGCATGTGACCAGCCAATGCTTGTATGCTCGCCAGGACACTGGTACTTTTTGCTGATGGTGGTGACCAACTTGCCGCCAACCGTGGACACAGCACCACGCCCCTGGCTCAGCGGAAGCTGGACAACAACAAGACCGCCGCTCCGTGCATCCCTTGCCTCTGCCATCGCCCGTCCCACAGCGACTGCAGGTGGTCCGACCTGCGGCATATAAACGAAGTTGTGTGTGTGTGTGTCATTTTGACTTTCATGCATCCAGGGCCAAGCCTTGGGTACGTCCTGCGCGCTGGTGGGCAATGCCGCGGAGGCCGCCTCAAAATGCAAAGTGTGGCTAGGAGGACTAACGCTGCATAACACTGCATATACCACCTGTGAGTTACATGGATGGCCACTGCAAGTCCACTTTGTTCTGGCAAGTCGTTTCGGGTTGCTTTTGCTCGCCCTTGAACTTTCTACGAGGCGTGCAGCAGCTTGGAGGAAGCTACTGCGTCGCCCCGAAAATGCAACGAAACAATGTGGTAAACGAAGGCACACTTGAGCATTTGGAGGCTTCGAGAAACGTGGGAAACCTCCAATGCCAATGCGCTCTCACTGCGACTGTCGGAAAGCGCGTAGAACCTTGAAGCTGTCTTCTGCATGATTCGCTTTCAAGATATATTTTCGGCACACACACACAATATTTGGTACATCGCGAATACTGGACAATCATCCGCACCATGGTGCAGACTCCAGACAGAATAGCTGCGGTTGCGTTTTGGGTTCTGCTGGGCACGGATACTCGTGGCCCTTGAACCAGCTTGCGTCCCCGTAACCGCTCTGAGTTGTGTCGCCAGTCGCGCTGGATCACACTCACATGTGCCGGCCACTGCCAGTGGTGGCATTGTGGGAAACGCTCTGCAAAGGATCCTGCTTCCGATTGGGGGTGACGCAGAGCGCGGTCGCACGTTTCGCGAGCCACACTAGAGCCATGCGCGTGCTTGGTAGCATCGCCGAACTACACTGAGATTCTGCAACGCTGCAGAGGCCCCGAGACCCTGCCCAGCCTTGGCATAGCCCCTGGCCGGGCCAACCGTGCTGGTTGCATAGGCGTTGGTGCCAATCTCACCAGCTGCCACCGGCTTGCCACTCACGATGTTCAGCACCTGGCTGTGGGTTTTGCTTCTGGAGTTCAGGGATGAGGGCTTAAGACCTGAGGGGCTAGAGTTCACAAACCCTTTCTGGAACCTCATCGGACCCCTGTCGTGCGGCCCCAGTCACGCTGTTGGGAGCGGACTGCGTCGAGGCCACACCGCCGGCGTACTTTGAGGTGCTCGGCACGGCCATGGCCGGCTTGGCCTTGGCCTGCAGGAGGAGGAGGGGGAGGAGGAGGAGGGCAGGAAGTTTTTTCGGAGGTTTGGAGGTTGAGCCCTGAAGCACCGCAGTGGATATGCAGAGGCAAGGCACATACCCTAAACCCTGAACCGCATGAACCCAGAGTCCCAAACCCTGAGCTCTACACCACCTACCTACCCTGAAACTCCCAAGCCCGCATGCTAAGCCCAAAAGCTTCCTTCCCGCGCCTTGGGTGCCTCGGCCTTCGCCCCCATTCCTGCGAAGAAGTTGTTTGGTTTAGGTTGCTAGAGGGATCTGCAGATTTAGGGATTGGGAAGCACGGGTTTGGGGTTGAGGGCTGCGGCTTAGGGCTGAGACTTCAGGGTGTACAGTTTGAGTGCAAGAATTCCTTGGGAGCCCAAAATTAGCGCAGTGGCCGAACCCACATTGCAGCAACGTTCTGGATCTGAGCTATCAGAACCCATGGACCCTAAACCCTAGACGCCGCATTCTGAACTATAAACTCTACACCCACAAACGCAAACTGAGTTCCCCGTCCTCGTGCCAGGGCTGAGCCCGTGGCCGTGAGGCGCTGGGCAGCCGTCGCCGGCTTCGTGCCCTCCTGGCAGGCAGAAAGTCAGGGCTAGCAGGGCCACGTCTCATGATTTCCGTTGCCGGACACCTGCAGCAGCGCCCAAAACACACAACACCAAGCGGCCTGACACTCTTACACCCAAAAACTCAGACAAAATCCAACCACCCTTAACTCTCAAGCCCCAAGTCCGATTAGCCTCCATGACAGCGGCGGCCGAGATGGGGGACACAGCGGCCTTGGCCTTGGCCGGAGCGGTGACCTCGGGAGCTGGCTCTTTGTCGGGCTTGGGAGCCTCACGGGAGGCTGGGCGCGCTGAACCCTCTCAAACCCACAGTGCTCGCCAGGTGGCGCCCGCAGAGGCCGGGCTGGTGGTGGTCGGGCCACTGCCGGCCGCCTATGGTGGAGCTGTTGCCACGACTCAAAGTTTTGGAGGTTTAAGGGGGGCTTTGCTTCAGTTTGGAGGGCTTCAGGGCTTAGGATTCATGGGTCAAGGGTGCTCGTCAGTTTAGCTGAACAGGGCTTTGCAAAGTGGATTCGGACAAGAAGCTTAAAGCCCCTTTGAAACCCTTTGAGGCCCTTCAACCGATCAAAAACCCAAAACCCTCAAGCGCTTCTTCAAAGAAGTGACCCAGCAAAGCCCGCGACAGGTTTAGCTCCAGCCTTGGGAGCTGCTCCGCCACCGGCCACCAGCATTGCCGCCTTGGACTTCGCCACCTTGCGAGGGGATCGAAGATGTTGGGGGGTTTTCCGCCGAAGGCCTTTGAGCCTCAGCGCTTGAGCTGTATGTGCCTTTTCAGGGTCAAGAAGTTTAGGGTTCAGAGTTGCACGGGTTTAGAGCGTTTACTGTAGGGCACGGGGGCTCCGGGGGCTTTGTGGTTGAGGGCTTCTAGGCTTTGGGGGTTTGGTGAGCTTGATGGCGGGGCTTGGGTTCAGGATGTATGAAACCCCAGAACACCTAAGCATCCGGAACCCAGAAATCTGAACCACAACCCTCATAACCCTCACAACTCTCACAACCCTCATCACCCCGAGCTGTGGCCTGGGGGGCAGCGGCTGCAGAGGCCGCGGTTGGGGCGGCGCCAGCAGCCTTGACCTTCTCCTGGAAGAGTCGTGCATGTCTTTTTGGGGTGGGTGTTTGGCGTAGGATAGCGCAGCTGTGAGACTTCTCTGTCGCCTCGCGGTTGGGAGCCTCCTCCCGGGCCTTGGCGGTCTGGGCGACGTCGCCAGCCTTCAGGGGGTCCCGTTCCCGTTTAGGGATGGAGGCTGTCTGGACCACTCAGGTGCCCACAAAACCGACATGATCGTCAAACCCTCTGCAGAGAAGAAGGCTCCGTGCCTTCGCAACGGGCACGACAGTGGGGGCCTGGGCAGGAGGAGTGGCCTTCGGTGCGGACATCCTCGGCGACAGTTGAGGATTCAGGCAAACCCGGATTCGGGGAGGGGTGGGGTTCGGGGAGGTACGATTCGTCAGGGATTTTGGAAGCTAGGGGTCCAGGGCTTTCCGGCATTGCCCTTGCAAACTATAGAACTATTTAGGCAAAAACTGACCGGTGGTGGTGCGGCGAGGTTGCTTTCTGGGTCCTCGGTGATCCACTGAACCCGCGATATCATTCTCTGTGGTGAGCCCGTGAAGAGCGGGAGGTTTAGCAGGAAATAGAAAGCAGGCCCATTCCCTCGTTGGCACCGCGCACCAGATTAGATGGTGCATCCGGGCCTCTGTTCACTTCATCTGTTCCTTGTCAATCATAGTCTTGGTTTGTGTTCATCAGCCTAGCTCTGGGAATAACCCATCAAAGACTCTGGAACACTTGTAGCATGCGAATCACAGTTTCGAAGGCAGAGGCGAAAATCAGTAGGCTTTATTCGGGGAGTTCGGAAATATTTGGCAAACACAAGAAAACTATCGAGTTTAACACTTCGACGGGACTTTCTGGTTCTAGTGTGTAACATCGTTTCTGGTTTTGGGAGCATACCTTCTTGAAGAGTCCAGAACGCAAACTAGTCGGCCCTAAACCCTCGTTCTCAGGAGCTGACGTGGCGGTGCCGGGGAAGTTGCAAGCAGAGAAGCTTGGAAAATGACGTCGAACTTGGAAAATGACTGCGGCAAGCTGGCTTCAGGATGCACAGCATGTGGAGACCTTCTTATCCATCCACACACACACACACACAAACACCCTTGCAGGGGTCTGCGTGGAATCTCTTAGCGAGAGCGCGCGACGCTAAGGCGACTATACAATCAAAGCTACTCCTGCCAAACCCCCAAACCCCGCAACCCGATATGCACCCTGAATTTCTCAGCAAAACCAGGTCGCCAAAACTGGCCCTTCCACTTGTATAAGGGCTTCGGCTGCAGCTTGGCATTCAGAATTGCTGTTTGGCCACCAAGCTGGGCGCAGCCCGTTGTCTCAAGGGAGGCTGAACTCGTTTGGTGGTTGAAGGTTCCCTCTCACATGGTGTTGCTTGCTGGCACGTGGACTTCTGTTGACAGAGTAGAGCAAGTGTGCGTAGGTTTCAAGTCTAGGTGTGCGTTTGAATCCCAAAAAGGCATGCCCAAAAATCTTATTCACCTTTGGCTGCGACTCGCCTTGAACCTTACTCTGGAGGATTCGGCCTTCGGGTTAAGGTCATGGGCTTCATGCAGAGATGGCTGAAACTTCCACTGTTTCCACGGCAGCTCAAACTGCCACTTCCTGTGGAGATTAGCCGGGGTTTCCCGGAAGTCATGGATGCCTGTCGTGGCTCCCAAGCGCACCGATCCCATGAAGCGCAGCACACGCTCCAGGTCTCGGGAGGGTCTCATGACAGCAGAGGTTCATCCTCAGCCACCACGATGCCGCAAAGATATGGGGGAGATGTGGAGCTCATCCTGTCACAGTTGACATGAGCTGCAGAAAACTAATGAAACCAGGGGCAGCCAAACGCAGTTGTTCAGCAAGCCCTTCATTAAAGCGAGCGCCGGCGAATGCACGGAAGGCTATGTCGGCTATTTACTGGCACACGGTGCCCCTAAACCCAAGGACTTCCTGTAGAGATTCTGCCTCCACCAGCGCCGGTTGCAAACCCTGGTGGCTTGCACCGAAAACCAGGAAAACTGGATGTGGAAAACACAAATTAAGATAATGATTGAGTCACTGAGACCTGCACGACCTCGGTGCCAAGCTCGACAGCAAAAAAGGCTCAGCGCTGAGGCTTCGGAGCTTAGGACCACGTGACAACTTCTAGGCTTTCGGGCCGTGTGGCTAAGGGTTCCAAGTCCTTTTCGCAGGCCATGATACAGCGTTCAACAATCCCCTCCCCTGCAACCGAGACCCAGTTTCCCAAAACGAAAGGGGCTCGTGCAAATAGCTCAAGATCGTTCAAGACGTTCTCAGGACCCAGTGGCCGCACTTCACAAGCGTACATCAAGCCCCACACCCCCTGTAAACTCTCCACACTGAACTCGAAACGCTGAATGCTTCAAAATTTGGAAACCACCACATCGCCCTATGCCTGAGCCTAACACCCACCCGGTGCCCAGCCGCGGCAAAGCCCTTCTGGGGCAGCGTACGAGCCATCGCGGCTTAGCACACCTGGTCAGGACTTGGCGTTCGGCAAACTTAAACCATCTCGTGCGTTGCTTTGGGGGATGTTTTCGGCCATGTTGTTGCATGCCTCGATGACGTTTCGGGCTCAAGCGCATGCATGGCGTTAGGCCTTTGGCGACTTTAGAGGCCGCTCTAAGGCTCGGGCTTCGAAGGTTGCGACCGTTTCAAGACCTAAACGCCGAATGCCAAAGTCCCAGAAAGCACACGCCTGCTTGTCCATCTCCAGAGTGACAGTCGCAACGCCTCCCTTCAACGTGTCCTCCGAGAGCAAAGAAGGTTCGGGAGGGTAAAACGGGTAAAACTGGAGGCTTGGAGACTTACACCTACCAGTCTTCCGGCTCACTTCAGGAGCTTCTTAACTGTATCCGAAGCTTTGGACCGTATCGACAAGTTTACTTACAAACAACGACCCCTACGAAAGCACCCCACCACCAATCCTTAAGCCTTCTCCTACTTCAAGACATGAACCCTATGCCACACAAAGCCGAAGCCATTGGTGCCGAGCCATGCGTCCTTGACGCCCAGCTCCTCGAAGATGGCCTTAACCACGGTTTCGGGTTGAGGATTTAGGGTTCAAGGGTTGCGGATTCTGTGCATCTTTATCTGTAAACATGTTTCAACCAGACCGAAGCCAATGCTTAAGACAATGAAAGACAAGCCGCAACCTTTTTTGCGTGCAGCAACGTGGCCCAACCATACACCCCCATACAGCAGTGCTGCAAGTCCCGTGGCTTTGGGGGCATTCAAGCTTCACTCACTTCATGCACTGGGAGAAAGAGAGAGAGAGAGAGAGAGAGAGAGAGAGAGAGAGAGAGAGAAGGAGAGACGGAGAGACCGACAGAGAAAGGAGAGGGAGGGAGAAGGAGGGAGAGAGAGGGAGAAAGACAGGGAGAAAGACAGAGTGACAGAGAGGGGAAGACCGGCCTCGTACTGAAGGGCAGCGTTGCTCCAAGTGAACTCTGCAGAGGCGGCCATGGCTGCCCGTGTCATGGCCTTGACCTGACGATCACACCGAACGTGAGAACCTAACCAAAACCTCAAAATTTTGCGCCAAACTTAGACCTCAACCCTCGAAAGCCATATGAAACTTGTGTGATGAGCCACTTCCAAGCCCTGGCTCAACCCTTCAACCCTCAACCCACCCCTTCAGCCAGCCTTCGAGGGCTCCTCGACGAAGAGCTTCGAGGCGCGCTTCAGGGCCTTCGCGATGGACTCCACGGACTCCTTGCTAGCTTGCTTGCTTACGCGCGCGCTTCGGCGGGCGCGCGCTGGGGCGGGCGCACTCAGAGCGCGCGCTTGGCTTCCGTGGCATAGGGTTCTGGGCACAAAGTTCTCCAAGCAGGTGCGCGGGTGCGCGGGCCTCGTCAATGACGGCCTCCACGGACATCTCCTTGTCGGTCCAGATTCCGTTCAGTCCATCCTGGCAAGCACCGCATCCGATCAAAACCTCCGCCCCTGTTTCCTGCAACCTCCAAACTTAGACCTCATCCAGAACTCTGTGTAACTCTAATCCGCTGGGAAGACAGCGGGTTCTGTCAAGGACCATGCTTCAGCGATCATACCAAGGTACGGAATCCCCTGAGCCCGAAACATGCCTTGCAGCCCGACTCGCCTCAACAGTGTCCTTCAGGCCACCCGTCGGGGCGACGATAGGCAAGGTGCCCATGCGCATGGCCTGCAGCCCCAGCCGCAGAATGAACAAGCGTTCAGGCTTCAAGGGCTTCAAGGGCTTCAAGGGCTTCAAGGGCTTCAAGGGCTTCAAGGGTTTCAAGGGGCCAAGGATGGTCCAGGGCTCGGGTTTCATCTTGGGAGCCCTGGCTTGGAGGAAACAATTGAAGGCCTCTGAGATGCGAACAACCCGCTACCTTCGCCTTTCATCCCCGAAACCAAGAAACCTTCTACCAGCAAAACAAATGTCTGGGACCTCCATCTGCACCAGGCCGCAGGGCTCCCACCTGCATTCGAAGACAGGCGCAGGGGTTAAAGGGGCAGGGGTGACAGGGGCCGGGGTTCTGTACGGTTCCTCGGGTAAATGGGTTCTTGGGGTTTGCCTTGCAGCTCAGCAGGGCTCGCGTTCGGATGCAGCTTGTAGGTTTATGCGTCTGAGGGCTCAGGACATTTCCGCGTTCTGGTTTCTTGTTGCCATGATTCTGCTTGAAACGGCTTTGGGGGGGATCACCGGAGGCTGTTTAACGGTTGCCGGGGCCATCCGGTAATCTCGTGTAAACTTTAGCGGAAGAATGGACATAACGAGCCATGGTTATTTCAATTGCCGCAGACATGTGCTAGGAGGTACTGTTAGCGAATTTTTAAGGGTGTAAGAATTTGAACTAATGCCTAAAATTCTAACCTCTCCAGACCATACCATACATTTTCCAGCAACGTGCTCCGGAGTTCGTGCTCACCTGCTTGGTCGAATGTCGCATGCGGAACTGAAAAACATCACACACTAATCCGGGGTGTGGTCAACTGTTCTGAAGCCATGGTCGCCCTGCTCACCCTTAGCGGCCTCTCGTGGCAGGCGATGCGGGCTAGTTAGGCTCGCTGCAACTCTTTGGGTGGACATTGCCGTGCCGGCCGTGCAGAACATCAGCTCTGCAGGGGTCTCTGCACCTGGTAATCGTACGGAGGCCTCCAGTACACGAAGGTCGGATGGTAGGACCTTCGTAAGCCTCAAATAGTTCAAAGATAGGGTTGAAACTCCGGTCCTCATGGAAGGGAGGCAACTTCATTCCACGGCGCCGGATGGCCGTAGATCAACAAGACAAAGAGGGGCGAATGCGGCCAAACCCTGAAACCACAAACCCCGAAACCCTATGCCCTTCTCTTCAAACCCGCAGGTTGCTTGGAAGCCCACAAGCGACCTGAAACATTCCCGGCGAGCCCTTGGGAACCCGGAAACAACCCGGGGAGCACCGGGACGGCAGCAGGGTGAAGTCGCAGCCGGCCAGCAGAGCGTAACGCTCAGGGCCCATCCAGCCTGCACGGCGGTTGAGGCGGTTTTGGGCTTGGGCTACTTGGGCGGTCGCACATGGAACCCGGTCGTGTCAAAAGCCATGACATCCGCATCAGCCTGCATAGAAGAACTTGGTGGGGAACTTCTTCTCGACGGCCTTCGTCCTGACTCAAAGCACAAGCATGGAAGTCATAAGACCCCTTGACCTTGCAGGAACAAATCCTGCAGTACAAGGTTGGCTAGATCCTGGCCAGAACACTCCCCTGAAACCCTGGTCTTGTGACCTGGCCTGGGACACAGACAGAGACAGAGAGAGAGAGAGCTGCCACCTAAGACCTAAACTGACGCCAAGAAACACCCCAAAGCCCAACTGCAAAAAGAAGCAAAAACTCAACCGCGGACCCTCGACCCAAACGTAGGTGCCCGGCTGGGCCACGAGGTCGGCGCGGCCGGAGCCCACGATGACCACCTGCATCTCCGTGTCCTGGCAGGGGCTTCAGGGGTTCAGGGTTTAGGGTTTAGGGATGTTAAGGGTTTAGGGCTTCGGGGAGTGGAAGGGATTTGGGCTTGCCAGGGATCGAGGGCGCAAGAGTTTGCCTGGCTACGCTTATAAGGTTACGACTCAGTCACACAGGTGTCTTGGGATCAGCAGGGCTGACGAAGTCTGGGAAACTGAAGTATCTGTCACTCAGAGCATTCGTGGAGTTCGCCCATGGGACTTGGGGCTTTGGAGGGCGTTGGCATGTTCCAATAAGAAGAGTTGGCCTAGAAAAAATGGGGGCCTCCAGGATCTCCACAAGGGCCTCCAAGAGGAGGTCGTAGCCCTTCTGGGCATCCAGCCTGAAGCTTGCCAAAAGCCGGTGCCACCCTCGGCAAAACCAGCAAACCCTCAAAAGGTAAAGCCGGAAGCTCCCTCCAGCACCAACTTCCTCTAAGGCCCTCCCCCACACTTCATCCCACCCCCGGCGACCCCAAACTCCCCAAACTCCCCAAAGCGCCTTCCGATGAAGCACATCAGGGGCCCCTTGGTCTCGGGGAGGTTGTTCTGCGCACGGTAGGTGGCCTGGCGAACTGCGAACCCAGGTGGGGTCGTTCTAGATGAGGGTCCTTTGTGCGGGGAGTCCCATCTACCCTCGAACCTGAACGAGTCACTAGGCGTGCACCGCGCCCTAAACTGGGAGGCAACTTTAAAGTGTGCCATTTGAGGTTTGGGAGGTGTTCGGAGCCACGTCCGCGATGCGAAGCAAGTCGTCAACGCGTCACTGTCGGCAGGCGCCCAACGACACATGGGCAAAGGAATGAAGCGTGCGGTAAAGCAAAAAACGAAAACTAAATGTTAAACTCCACCAATCCTCTCAGTGGAGGTTGGAAACGCTTAAACTGCAGTTCCACGGACGACGCAATGACGAGCAGGAACTGGAAGCCTTGAGAGCTGCACAGGCTCCCTTGAACCTTTAATCTTAATCTCCATGAACCCTGTGAGGGCTCAGCCCTGTTTACCCCTTTCACCTTAAAGCCTACATCACATCGGTTCCACGTTTGGGGGCTTCCCGGCCTTGAGCTCGGCCTTCGCCTCGGGCGCCGTGGCCGCCTGGGCATGGCGAGGGGTCTGCTCATTTCCCCCTCCCTTTCGGGGTGTGACGGTTGGACAGGTTTAGGACTTACTAGTACAGTTTACGGCTTAGGAGGTCTAGTGTCTACGGGGCTTAGGCTTAGAAATGCAGAACGCGTCTGAGCTACCGGCCGTGAAGATCCCACAGGACATCATGGTCTTCGTGACGAAGTTCTTGTCGCTGGGGGACACGCCCTCCTTCACGCCGTTCAAGATTCCTGGCCGTGGCGGCTTGAAAAACCTGAAACCAGACGCCCAAAAAAACCAAACCCCAAGCCCTCAATCGCACGTCCTGTGCACTTTCCCAGCGTGAAGAGGTCCTCCAGCTCCACGCCCTGCAATGCAGGTGCTTTCACTCTCGAAAGCACCTTCCCTTGCCCCGCCCTATCATTCTTGAAGATTTTGGTGAAAGGATGCTCAATGTCGTTCATGCCTTGCATGGAAGAAAAGGCAAGGTGCGCACCAGGTCCAATGGGCGCCTTCTCCGGATCCGTGCAGCACTCCACCGCGTAGCTGGGAGACACGGTCAAGGCCTTTGCCGGACGGACCATGCGGCAATGCTCCCTGATCTCCCTGCATCGGCACTCGAACTGTCTGCATCTGTGGATGTCATGACAAGCGCTTCTGGCCACTACCTTAGGAGAGATGTTCAAAGTCGAAAAGGGCCATATACTGCCCAAAACATTTTACGATCGCCTGTCCAACTTCTCTGCGATTACATGCACCTGCCGTTTCCATCTGGGCCTTTTTGACCTCTGTCCATTCTTGTCCTGGCTACCACTCTTCATGGCTTGACATGCACCGATATCGCCACTGCTCCTGTCAATCTCTGAGAGAAATGGATCTGGCTGCAACCCTAGGTACGAAAAGGCCCAGATCCAAGCAACCCGAAGCCCCCCTGCTCATCTCTGCACTGAGCTGGAGGCTCGGTCGGCGTACTTAAGGCCCGCAGCCATGGTGTTGATGCAAGATTTCTGCGAGCGAGGCGCACAGGAAAAGCTTAGCAGAGCGAAGCGCTTCAGCGCTTCCAGATCTGAAGGATCTTCACAGGGCTTATCTGGTTGCTTGTTGGCTCGCGGTTTGGAGGGGCTTCGGGATCAGCAGGACCAGCAGCCGACCTTCTCGTTGTACTTGCCGATGCGCAGCGGCATCTTGAAGGTGATGCTGTCGATGTAGCGCTCCGGAACGCCGAAGATGCTGGCCAGGCCTGCCACCCAAATGGCCTACCTTGTCTTGCAAGCCCATGACAGGTTGTTCCTTCCCTCTACCAAGGTACGGCTTGGGGCTTAGGGCTTCGGCTCCCGCTGGGCAGTACAGGCCTTCCTCGCGCACGAAGCGACCTTGGAAGACGGCATTGTGGCAGAGGAACCTTGGTGAAGTGCTTTTGCGCTTTAGGCACCTCGCTGAAATGCGAACCCAAGCATAACCGGGTAACCCTACACCCTCAACTCTCCAAAAAAATGAACTAACCCGAGTGCCAGGGCTTAGGAGGCTTCAGGGCTTTGGAGCTCAGATGCTTTAAGGGCGGCCAAGTGGCGCGGACTTCGTGTTGGTCCATTTGCCTTGGGCTTCGGGGGGGAGGTCTTCTTGAAGCCATGCTTCGAGAGTTAGGGCTTCGGCTTCTTTAAGGCCTTACGTGCTCGCGGCTTTCGGCTACGAGCACAACGGCTTGCGGCTACAAAGCTTCCGGGGCCTGTGGGCTTCTCAGCGTGGATGAGCATCGGGACCAGGGCCGAGTGCCAGTCGTTGCACACGACCATGCAGTCGCCGCCGTACCTTGGACTCCGGGATCTCCGGGATCTCCAGGGAGAGGTTTCAGGGATGTCGGGCGTACTTTGGGGTTACATGACGCCCCCCCCAAAAGCACCGGAACCTGAGAGCCCCAAGCCCCTGCAGTCACCATTGCAAAATTCTTACCGGGCCCCGCGCACAGCACCGCCCAGGGGCAGCTCCTGGATGGCCTTCAAGGAAGCCTCGGGCGGTTTTGGGGCTTCGGGCCTAGGGATGTTAGGAATGCGTCACCCCAAGGTGCATAGGATTCGCGGGCGAACTGCAGCGAATTTGGGGTTCTAGGTTGAGGCTTGCCGCGCCTTGCAGAAGTAGGCGAAGCGAGCCTGGTTGTCCGCAAAGTCCTGCCGAAATTCTCGAGTTTGGTAAAGCGTTTCCGGTTTCGGTAGAAAGTGAGCTTTGCAGCTTGTAAAGTGGAGGGCTAAACCGCGAGCCAACTACTCCTGACAGCGAGCCCATGGGCCTATCACAATCGTTACAGACATGTCTGCGCGCTCAGGAGCCAGAGCATGACAGATAGGCCTTGAACGTATTGAGCAGGATGACGCAGGTGCACGAGAAGTTCAAAAGCAAGTAGCTTTGCATGCGTGAACTGAGGCCAAAGGGCCCGTTTTGTGGCTTGCTCCATCCACACCGAGCCTGAAAACCCTGAACAGTGAGCCAAAACTACTGCTGCAGAACCCTCATGTTGATTACCAACACGTTAATCATTTAATGACCCCTCTTATCGGTCATCCTTGTAATGATTATGGATGGGTTTTGATCTGCTTGAATTTCGGCATCCACAACTCAAACCATGGGTAGGACAAGCTGAGGAGGCGGTTGGCGTCCTGACCCCACTCAGGGCCGTACAACTTGGCACCGGTCTCTCCGTTGACCCGCTCCAGGAAGGTCGGGTGATCGACGAACACGTAGTCGACCTCGCCAACATCTACAACCCGTGGGCCACGAAAGCTAGACAATGCTTTTTCTTTGTGCGCAGCGGCAAAGCCCGCCGTCCCAATTCCACCCGCAGCCTTTAAACAAGAAGTAATGTGGGGGTCATGGGGAGAGGGTGGACCTGAATGCCTCCCCCCTACGCTTGACCCTGACTTCGGGGGGGGGGGGGGGTTGAACAAAACAATCACAAGAGTTCGACCCTGGCCTTCTGCTTGTAGGTGTGGAAGAAGTGCACGGATTCGTTCTTGCCGCCCATGGGCACCGAGCTCCAGTAGCCGGTGTCCCAAGCATCCTTGTACTGGTCATAGCCTGGACTGCAAGAAGCGCTGAGGCTGTCGGAGAGGCATCAAGAAACCCCCACAAAAACAAAGAGCCAAGTCATGGCGAAGCCACGGGGAGAGACGACCATGCAGCGGTGGCCCAGAGCCGCCAGCGCGATCGGCAGGCCGTCCATGGCCTCTCCCAGGCCTGGCGACTTCATGAATGCTCCTCATAAAGAAAAAGGCGGACTTCTAATCTCCTTAAACACGCTAAGTCCAGGACTTAGAACAGTTTAGGATTCAGGGAGCCTGTGGAGAACCCTGTTACACACCTTCTGGCGTGCATCCAAACATGCTGCATGCCTCCAGTCTTTGAGAAGGGAGCCACTTCACTGGTAACGAAGACGATCCTGACAGGGGTGCCCCGCGACAGCCTTCAGCAGTTCAACCGACTAGCAAGTGACCAGCCAACGCTTGTATGCTTGCCAGGACACTGGTACTTCTTACCAATGGTGGTGACCAACTTGCCACCAACCGTGGACACAGCACCACGCCCCTGGCTGAGTGGAAGCAGGACAACAACAAGACCGCCGCTCCGGGTATCCCTTGCCTCTGCCATCGCCCGTCCCACAGCGACTGCAGGTGGTCCGACCTGCGGCATGTAAACGAAGTTGTGTGTGTGTGTGTGTGTGCGCGTATGTCATTTTGACTTTCATGCTTCCACGGCCAAGCCTTGGGTACGTCCTGCGCAGCGCTGGTGGGCAATGCCGCGGCGGCCGCCTCAAAGTGCAAAGCGTGCCCCACGGGCCTAACACCACAAGTCGAGGGTGTCAAGAGCCAATCGCAAGCTCATCCACGAGATACATGGATGGGTCTATGGAGCCTGTGGGGCCCGCCAATAGTTGCACATACTACCTTACCGAAGCCAACTCGGGTCACGGGTCACCACTTCAGTTGTTTTGGGCAAGTCGTTTCAGATCGCGTTTGTTGGCCCTTGAACTTTCTGCGAAGTGTGCAGCAGCTTGGACTAGAAGCTACTGCGTGGCCCCGAAGATGCATCAAAACAATGTCGTAAAACGGAGGCGCGCTTGAGCATGTGGATGCTTCAGGAAAACTTCGGAAGACTCTAGTGACTCTGGTGCCAATTTATTCTAACCACGCTGCTTGGAAAGCGCATAGAACTTTGAGGCATTTCGTGCATGAGTCGGCTTCAGATCCGCTGCACGCACCCGAACCACGGCCTGTCAATCTTCACGTCCGTCAACAAGTGTGCTAAACAGCACCCCACCCCATCATGGTGCAGAAGACAAACCTTCATGTCTCCCAGCACCCGAAAGCGTCATCAAGCTTTGCTTAGCCATGCCCGGACCAGGCCCAACCACTTCAACACAAAACGGTCAGCTTGAACGTCAGATGGGCCTCCATGACTACACCTCAACTCTCACGCTGCAGAGGCGACAGCTCACGTGCCAGAGACGACATGTCTTTGATCACCATCCCAAAGGTACAGGCCCCAGACCAACTTCTCAGAGCCTTGGAAGTTGCGTCTCTCTGCGGAGGGAGAGGCAAGGCACTCCCCACCTTTCAGTCTCATGGCAAAGAGCTGCAAAAGCCCCTCCTGCCGTTGAGCTGTGGGGTATGTAACATGTGCAGCCACACGAGGCTGAGGTCGGGCTGGCATCGCAACGCCTCAGCATCTTCCCAGACCCGGAGAGTCCAGTTCGGTGGCTGCTTGGGAGCCCCCGAGAAGCATTGGAAACGAGTGGTGGCATTGTGGGAAGCGCTCTGCACAGGATCCTGCTTCCGATTGGGGGTGACGCAGAGCGCGGTCGCACGTTTCGCAAGCCACACTAGAGCCATGCGCGTGCTTGGTAGCGTCGCCGAAATACACTGAGATTCTGCAGCGCTGCACAGGCCCCGAAACCCTGCCCAGCCTTGGCATAGCCCCTGGCCGGGCCAACCGTGCTGGTTGCGTAGGCGTTGGTGCCAATCTCACCAGCTGCCACCGGCTTGCCACTCACGATGTTCAGCACCTGGCTGTGGGTTTTTCTTCTGGAGTTCAGGGATGAGGGTTTAAGACCTGAGGAGCTAGAGTTTACAAACCTTGTAAGTCCCCAGTCCGAAGGAAATTGGAGGGTCTGGAGCTTTCTGGAACCTCATCGGACCTCTGTCCTGCGGCCCCAGTCACGCTGTTGGGAGCAGACTGGGTCGAGGCCACACCGCCGGCGTACTTTGAGGTGCTCGGCACGGCCATGGCCGGCTTGGCCTTGGCCTGCAGGAGGAGGGGAGGAGGAAGTGTTTTCGAAGCACCCAAACGGAAAGGCGGAGACAAGACACAATCCCAGAGGTGCACACCTCCAAAGCCCGACCAAACCCCAACCTTAAACCCTGAACCACATGAACCCGGAACCCCCAACCGTGAGCTCCATACTACACCATCCTGCAGCCCTGAAACTCCCAAGCTCACACGCTGAGTCCAACAGCTTCCTTCCCGCGCCTTGGGTGCCTCGGCCTTCGCCCCCATTCCTGCGCTGAAACTCTTCGGTTTCGGGTGAAGGGGTGTTTCAGATTCAAGGCACCTGAGGGTTTGAACGACGGGACGGGTTTGGAAAGCTCATGTGCGGTTTGAAGCCATTTCTCTTCGTCGAAAATAAACGCGGGGGAACGCGGGGGGGGGGGGCCTCTTGCAAACACGATGCTTTGCATGACGGTCTTTGAACGGATTTAAATCTAGAACAAGGGTTGGGCGCGATGTTCTTCAAAGCAAGCTTGCATGGCAGACATTCAAAATGTTTCTTTATGTCTTCTTTTCTCTTGTTTCTCCTTTTTTCATGTTTTCCAAGCAAAGGCGCCACACCTAGGACCTAGGACAAAAAGGGTCCCGCCACACCCAGGGAGAAAACAAAAAAAGGACCGCAGAATCAGCAGGATAAGCGACCACGGGAGCACAGAGGCCCGCAACACCTAGGAAAAAACAAAAGCCCGCCGCACCCCCAACCATACGCCCACAAACCCAAGCTGAGTTCCCCGTCCTCGTGCCAGGGCTGAGCCCGTGGCCGTGAGGCGCTCGGCAGCAGTCGCCGGCTTCGTGCCCTCCTGGGGCAAAAAAATGGAAGCCCCTAAGGAAAGCATTGAACACGTCAGGACCGTCAGGGCAAAGTCTCTTGATTCTCCGTTGCCGGACACCTGCAGCAGCGCCCAAAACATCCACAACCCAGCGCCCTGAAACTCTTACACCCAAAACTAAGACAAATCCTAGGCCCCACGCTCGAAAACCCACAAGCCCAAACCCCCAACTCTCAAGCCCCAAGCCCGATTAACCTCCATGACAGCGGCGGCCGAGATGGGCGACACAGCGGCCTTGGCCTTGGCCGGAGCGGTGACCTCGGGAGCTGGCTCTTTGTCGGGCTTGGGAGCCTCAAGGGAGGCGGGGCGCGCTGAACCCTCTCAAACCCACAGTGCTCGCCAGGTGGCGCCCGCAGAGGCCGGGCTGGTGGTGGTCGGTCCACTGCCGGACGCCTCTGGTGGACGTGGGCTTTGCCAGGGCCCCGAGAGCTCTTGCAGCGATTCAAGTGTTAGAAGTTTAAGGCGGGGGGGCTTTGGGTGAAAGGGCTTCAGCTTGGAGGGCTTAAGGCTTGGCAGAGTGGCTGCTCAAGGGCAGCTTGGGATTCGGGCAAGAAGCTTGAAGCTTCTTCAAACCTTTCCCAGCAAAGCCCGCGACAGGTTTAGCTCCAGCCTTGGGAGCTGCTCCGCCACCGGCCACCAACGTTGCTGCCTTGGACTTCGCCACCTCATGAGGGGATCGAAGAGGTTGGGGGGGTTTTCCGCCGAAGGCCTTGATCAGGACTTGAGCCTAACGGTTTGGAGGTGAAGTTCCCGTTTAGCAGTTGAGGGTTTTAAAAACGTCTTCGGGGCGTTAGCTTTTTGTGTCTTTTTAAAGTTGAGGAGCTTAAGCTTGACGGTGGGCGTTTAGGGCACATTCGGGGGCTTTGCAGTTGAGGGTTTTGGGCTCTTCTTGTGCTTGACGGTCAGGCTAGGGTTGGGCTTGGGGGCTTCTGGGGAGGGTATAGGAAACCCAAAACCCTAAGCATCCTGAACCATGACCCTCACAAGCCTCACCAGCTTGACAACCCTCACCACACTCATAACCTCATCTCATGGCCCTGGGACCTGGCCTGGGGGGCAGCGGCTGCAGAGGCCGCGGTTGGGGCGGCGCCAGCAGCCTTGACCTTCTCCTGCAAAAAGTCGTGCATGGCTTTTTTGGGGGGGTGTTTGGCGTAGGATTCAGCGGCTCAGGCTCCGGGTAGGGATGCGGGGAATAGCTGCGTAACGCAGCTGTGAAACTTCTCCGTCTCCTCGCGGTTGGGAGCCTCCTCTCGGGCCTTGGCGGTCTGGGCGACGTCGCCAGCCTTCAGGGGGTCCCCTTCCCGAAGGCTGTCTGGACCACTCGGGTCAGGCAGATGCCCACAAAACCGACATGATCAACTCTAAACCCTCAACCCCAAAGCCCGGAAGAGCAGAGAAGGCTCCGTGCCTTCGCAACGGGCACGACAGTGGGGGCCTGAGCGGGAGGAGTGGCCTTCGGTGCGGACAT